CCCGAATCCAGTCGGCGCGCGCACGCTCCGAAGTACAGTCGCGGCAAAAAAAATCAGTCCTATTACTTTTCGGACAAACCCTGTATAATAAAATTTAAATTAAAATTTTTATTAAAAAATCTTGTTTCCAATTTTATTATTTACATTTTATTTAGAAAATTTATATAAAAAATCATTCTAAATAAAATAAAATAGTAATTTTTTCAGAGAAAGAATATTAAAAATAAAAAACAAAATATTCTAATATGATTATAATTATTTTTAAATTAAATGTAAGTATATAAATATAATGTTATTATGTTATCATTTTAATTTAATTATATTCTCACAATATTATCATTATAATGTATTTATAATGTAAATAGACATTATTTATTATAAGTCAATAAAATTTAAATTTGTTTAATTATATTAGGGATTTGCATTAAAAGTTACTGTTCACGTTTAGATGACAGTAGCTGCGTATGCTATGGTCAGAGACATCTGCTACTTATATCATTTTGAAGTGTGAACATTTCCTACTAAAATTCAATCAACAGACGTCATCCTTGGTTACATATGTGCTTTTCTATAACTGAATTAAAATGGAACGTGATAAGTTGTTTTTCCGATGTGTACTTCTACACTATTTTGATTTAAAAAAAAGTGCAGCTGAAATTCATTGATTGCTTGCGGAAATTTATGGTGGTCTGCTTCATCGGAAACAGTATGTAGAAACTGGTTTCGACGATTCAAAAGTGATTGTGACGTTCATGACAAACAAAAAATGTTCTGTATTTGGAGGAATATGGAGGGTGTCGTGCATTATGAACTGCTTAAACCGAATGAAACAATCACCGCCGAGCGTTATCGACACCAATTGGAACGTTTGAATGATAATTTGATGCAAAAACGACCATCAATTACATCAAATCGTCGAAAGGTGATTTTACTCCATGATAACGCTCGGGCCACATGTTGCTATAATCGTGAAACAAACACTGATGGATCTCGAATGGGAGGTTCTCCCGCACCCAGCGTATTCTTCGGACTTAGCACCAAGCGATTATCTGTTCCGATCGATGCAACATGTTCTGGAAGATACACACTTCCATAATTATAGCGAAGTCGAAAATTGGGTTGCTGAATGGATTGATTCAAAAGATAGACCATTCTTTCGTCGTGGAATTCAACTTCTGCCTGAAAAGTGGCAAAAAGTCAGCTTCCGAGAGGAAATACTTTGATTGAGGTATTCATATATTTTGTTATTGAAATAAGTACTCAAATACAAAGAAAAAACAGTAACTTTTAATGCAACCCCCTAATATTAAACAAATTTAATATAAATTGTAAAATAAATATATATTGATAAAGAGTAATTATACATTTACATTATATACTTACATTGAATATTAACATTATATATTATACATTGTAGTTATATTACAATTATAACGTAATTATAATGTAAAAATTTAATTTAAACATATAATGTAAATATATAACGTAATAAATATACAATGTAAATATAATATAAATATAATTATTCTTTTAAATATTTATATAAAATATATTAAATTTAAATTATATAATATATAAATTATCTAAATTATCTGAATCATAAATTATATGAATTATCTTATGTAAGTTAGGTTAAATTATTTATATGATGAAAATTATATTAATTAATAATACTATTTAAATTATTTAAATTATTAAAATTACATATGTTGTTTACATTATTTAAGTAGTGTAAATTATTTAAAATATTTCAGTAATTTTATCTAAATTATTACTTCACTTAAATTAACATTTTCAGTTAATATACAGGGTGCGTCACCAAAATCCGGACAAATTTCAATTCAAATTTTCCGCTATACTGTGCCTCCGCCAAAGATTGTTATTGGTGTCCAAGAAAGCCTGATGCTTCTAGTAAACAGTCATATTCTCAAAATGGCCGCGATGTTGAAACCAAGTGCGGAGTC